CAATCCATCTACGTCCTGAGGACCTCGCTGCCACCGTCCAAGCGTGCTTGGCCCCGGCAGATGAACCTCAGGATTAAAGGGTGGGCTCAGTTCCGCGCACACTGTGTCTCACCTAAAAAATCCAATGCGCAGGCTGGAAGGTGTAAAGACCTTCCCCGGTTCTTCGTTCGCGAAGACTGGCCATTTAGATTAGAACCTAGTGCATGTCATATATTCCCACCACCCTCATCAGCATTCTTTCATTTAGGTTGGTGCAGATAGGCAGAATGATTAAATAACATAATCTGAAGTATTAATAATACTATAATTTTCAAGACAACCTATTCCAGGAGTGACCATCTTGACTTTTTTTTTTTTTTGACTGCGCTTCTTTATATTAGGTGGTTCCATAAAATGCTTTCAGGAAAGAAATATGAGTTAAATATGTGGGATTTAATCTCTGTATCTTCATGAGATTTTAAAAAACTAATTTAAAAAAACATTAAAACACATTGCACATTAAATTAGGCTATGGTGCAATGGTCCTTTTTAGGATAAATTGTAATTTGAAAATCTCATCAGAAGTTTCTGGGTTTCGAATTTGTGATCGTCAGGATGGCTTCATTCTTTGCTGCTGTTCTCTCTCTCTCCCCTTCTTCTCTCTCCTATTATTACAAAAGAGGGTGTTTGCCCACTTTTAATCAGAAAAGTAATTAAATTTTTGAGGCAATTTCTCATTATTTTAACAATAAAAGATAAAAAAATGAAAAAAAAATCATCTATCAGGTTTTGCTTTGGTATCTCTTACAGTGCTGTCTGCTATGCTGAGCTGCTAGCGATGCTTGCTTGCTTGTATAAAGAAAGCAAAAACTGGCTTACGTAAATTTCTCAGGAGATCGTGGTCATCTGATTTTTGATTTATTCCAAATGAAGACTATGCTAATTAAAACAATTGTAATATTGTTTCATGCAATTATTTTTTAATTATGATTGACTTAATGAACTACTTCTGCCTACTCAGTTCTCATGGGTGTGTTTGGTAAGTTAGAAAACTTGCCAGAGCAAAATTTCATCAAAGAAAACACTGGGAAAATCAGTGTTATTTCAGAGCCAGTCGATCCTGAACCTTCACCAGTCTGTGTAGTAGCATCAGTGGCCTTGAGGCAATGAAAGAAATTGTCTTTTTCAACAACACTGTGTATACCAATATTAATTTTTCTACAACTGAGAATGTAGATGAAATACACAGTTGTTTTACAATCCCTTTCGATTATGAGATATTGGAGCAATTAAATTCTGCTACATGATTTCTCAGCATGTGTTTATCCAGCCATGTGGACATTTTGTCCAGAAGGATCCTGTGAGAGACAGTATCAGAAGTTTTATTTAAATCCAAAACGATTACATCAACTGGCTTCCCTTGATCAATGAGGTTGGTTACCTTGTCGTAAAAGGAAATCAGATTCAATAAGCAGGACTTTCCTCTTGTGAAGCCGTGCTGGCTGTGGCCGGTGACTGTATTGTCTTTCAGGTGTTTTTCAATACCTCCCAGAATAATCTTCTCCGTAACTTTACCAGACACTGAAGTGAGACTGACTGGCCTGTAGTTTCTGGGGTCCTTCTTCTTGCCCTTGAAAACTTGGCCAATGTTTGTGAGCTTCCAGTCAACTGGGATCTCTCTGGATTCCCAAGACCACTTAAAAATCTTCCAAAGAGGTTTTGTGATGACATCCGTCAGCTCTTTCAGGTTTCTTGGATGAAACCCATCAGGCCCCATAGTTTTGTAGGTATCCAGTTGGAACAGCAGGTCCTGCACAAGTTCAGGGTTGATTGGGAATTGATCATTTCTTCCTACAGCAGCAGGCAGCCTCTGTGAATTCCTCCCATGTTACTTGACCTTGCTTCCACTGGGCATACACCTACCTTTTTTGTCTTATTTCCAAGAGAAGATCCCTGCTCAGCCAAGCCAGCCTTCTGTCTCACCCACTTGGCTTATGGCATTTGTGGCTTGCCTTCTCCTGTGCCCTTAGGAGGTGATGTTCGAAAAGTGACCAGCACTGATGGACTTCAGCACCTGAAAAAACATTTTACCAGGGGACTTCACTTACTTGTTCCCTGAGCAGTCTGAAGTCTGCCCTCCTCATGGCCAGAGTTGAGGTTTTGCTGGCACTTTTCCTCCAGTCAATAGAGATTTCAAACTCAATCCCTTTGTGGTCACTGTGGCTAAAATGGCTGCCAATCTCGATTTTGCTCACGAGATCGACTCTGTTGACAAGAAGCAGATCAACAAGGTCATCTTGCCAAATCGGCACCCTTAAGACCTGTTCCATAAAGTTGTTATCTTGTTTTTTTAGGGATCTTCTGACCCCGGTTGTAGCACCTCTCTGATGCTACTAGTGCACTTCTGGCGAGAGAAAGTCACGCATAAGGATAAGGGCAGTTGACATGGAAGTGTCACTTATTTCCTGAAAGAATAATTTGTCGTCCTGGCTGGAAAGTCTGTAGTAGACTCCCACGATGACATATACATTATTTGTTAGTTCTTACCCAGAGGCTCTCAACTGTGTCATTGTCAGCTGTCAGCTCCATGTATTTTAACCCTTCTATTACCTACAGTGCCACCCTTCCACTTCTGCCCTGCCTGTCTCTCCTGAAGAGCCTGTAACCATCCAACACAGGACTCATCCCACCGTGTTTCACTTACACCAATGATATCAGATCTCTGGGACTGGGCCAAAGCTTTGAGCTCCTCTTGTATGTCTGACTGATGAAGAACTTGACCACTGTCAATTTTAGTAACTTCTCTTTTCTTTGGGGCTAAGCAGGGCAAAGGAGCAGAGTGTAGCTAGGGGCAGGAAAGGAGTGTGTACTAGGCAGCTGAATCAAATGCTCAGACCTTTTTCCTGTAGTGTCTGAAAACAAGGATTCCAGAAGGGACAGTTTGAACCATGCCATGCTCACCGAAATTAATATATACCTGCCAAAAGTAAGTACCTTTCCAGAACGGAAACAATAGAGAGAGAGATTCTAAAAGCTCAAACATATTGACTCTACTGTCCAGTACTGAGATGTGTTTGAAATCATTGTCTTGAAGATGCCTTTGAAAAATAATGAGGTTTGGTTGTTTGTTGTCATGTGAAATGAATAAGCACCATTTCTAATCTTTCAGTGAGGGAAGCTGAGAGAAATGCAGCACAGTCTTTCACCTTACCCACATGAACTCCACAGTCAGGAAGCACACCATAAATGCAAGAAACCATCTCTTTCCTAAATTACCACAGTGACCAGAGCCAGAAGAATGGAGAACTGTCGTACCTAAAGGGGAGATGGTATCTCAAATACCTTTGCAGACAATATTTCCCATGTACAAAACTCTGGTGTGGCCAATAGACAAATGCATTGCTGCAAACAGAATGCCACTGTTTGTTGTTTTCAGTACAAAGGAATTCCAATTATCTCCTATAGGCCTCCCACTAGAAAAGATGCTAATGTTCCAGTGAATTAGAAATAATGAAGTGGTTCAATCTCACCTCCCCAAATCTTTGAAGTAGACAGGTGAGCTAACCAAATTGTTTGAAATACATGTCTTCTAGCTCTTGGGTTGTTGTACAAAGATTTTGAAGGGATTCTTCTAAATAAAAATAAAATACTTAGATTATCTCCTAATTATTTTTCAGCATTCATACAAGTGTACACTTCATAGTAGCCTCTCTGAATAGCAGTCATGGCTTTACAAAGCTTTTAGGAAATCTGTATTACTTTTTTGCCTCTCCTCTATCCTTGCCCTCTTAGATATATAGTCCTTCTTTAAAAAGACTGTCACTTTAAACTGATGCATATTACAGTTCATAAATACAGATTATTCCATGCATTTTTTGAACTCTCCTAATTGCAATTCCCTGCACTTTGTCAGAGTTTTCTCTGTAGAATCCATAATAGCAAGTGAAATCTTCCTCAGCTTCATGTGATGTTTCCAGTTGAAAATGGGAATCCCTTGTAATGAGATTGTAAAACCAAGATAGAATCCACAGCTCTGTCTGCAGGAGGCATATGATATCTGTTTACCTTGTATTTGCATGGAACTTCCCTGTTGATGGAGATTCTGCCCGTCTACATGTCTACAAAACAGGATCACAGTGACCTGTTCTTTCCTCATCTGTTCCTCAGGTGAAATGGAAGCACACTTGCTTAAATATCAGAAATACGTGGTAGGAAGATCAGATCTGACTGATTTTAGTTCATAGTTCACAGATAAACATAATTACTGATGTTTGTTCATCAATCTTCCTCATACCAAGTGAAATATAAATAAATTAAAGCAGAATGAGGCAGTAATAACATTCTAGTCCTACCTTGCTTCAAATGTATCTGGTTTAAGGACCTGATGAACTTGATAAAACCTACCTTGAAGCATTTATCTTTTAGCATTGTAGATGAGAAGTTGGTAACTCTCTATATAACTGTTTTCCAAATCCAGAATATCTAATTACATAGTAAGGAAGTTTCCTTTACTTATTAAAGATGTGCCAACAGCTGAATGGGGTTCTCTGGTAAGGAAGAGTTTTCTACAATCTATTTTCCTGAGATTGTGATTAGACTGTTACCTGAACAGAATCTGGTATCTGAATTAAAGGACTAGAATATGATAATTCCCACTAATATTAGTGTATTTTCTGATCCCTTAGGCTCAGTTTCTGTTTTCCTAATTACAGTTCTTACACTCTCAACTTTATTTATGTGTTTCTCGTGGTCTGGAGGATGTTTTTGAAAGCTCTACCATCTTAAATCCTTTTAGCTTGGTAAATTATTCCTCTTTATTAGATCATGCTAATATTTATTGTCATCCTGCACATTATTACATGTATCTGAGAAAATGTTATTCTTAGTATGTGTAACATATTTGAAAAACAGAGCTATTTTGGTGCCTTAAGGGAATATCTACCTGCTGTATTTCAGAGAGGAGAGCTGAGCCTTATATTGCAGAGAAGCATCATGCTTTCAAGAATGGTAGAATTCTGTGGAAACAGCTGTAGATGTTACCAGCACCTCGTTGTCATTGCACTTCTTTCATAGTCTGTCCCCAGATTTGGCTTCAGCAGAAGGGTTTCTGTGAGAACTTTTAATCCATCTCAATCAAAATAAACCAGATCTCAGCTATTCTACCCAAACTGGGGCAGCTGATTTGCCCTTTAAGCAGATTAGAGTCCATTCTTACAGCAGCTCTGGCTGTGGAGCTGTTCAGTGATACCTTCTGTTTGAAGAGCAGCAGGGTGAATGATAATGTCAGCTATTCAGTAGATGCAACTGTCCTCTAACTTTCCGGTCCTAATAGAAGATAAATCCTTTGGGGTTTCTATGTGTAGCGCTTGTGTTGCGTGACTTTTCAACCAGTTACATAAGAGAGGCTTTAATTGCATTAAACTGTGCCTCTCTGTCTCTGTGGGAGCTTCTGTCCCACAACTAGTTTATGATTCATACAGTTTTTCATCATAATTTTATTTATTTGTATTTATTTAGTGAGAAAACTTAATAAAGTGTCATTTGTAATGGAGCACAAAAGTTTATATTTGTCTTCCAAGTTCGTTCACTGCTCTTCCATGTCTGTGCTATTGTAGTCTGATGCTTCTTTTTCCTATAACTATATCTGAAATTACAGAAGTGCTTTTGTGCATCCTGGTAGCTTAATAAAGCTACACGTTGACTCTCCTAGCAATCACAGGTAATTCATAGCAGGTTAATTCCATGTTCCAAATGTGCATCTGTTTCCAAAATGTCCTGAGCTGATATCTGGCGTCAGCCAACCTTTTGTGCTCTATGTCACTTAGGTGATCTGGCTTCTTAACTTGAATGCTGGTTTGGTAGAAGTATCAGCAATCATAACTTAAAATGCTAACAATTCGTCTGTTCCTATCTAAAGTAAGTGCCATTACCTTGGATATCCTATAGTGTTAAAAATGGCCATATATATGTCTGTGTTTAGTCACCTGAATCTCATATTCTTTTCAAAAAATCTGCTTTTAAGCATTCTGTATGTAACAATACTTTTTAAAGCAACTGCAGTTATTTGTGAAAAGTAGACAGCTTTTAGAGATTCCCAGTCTGCCTGGAAAGTTATTATTCTTAGCTAAATCGTTTTGCATGTAATTGCGTGGATTTATTTTTTAAGATCATTTATGTTTTGTAAATACTTTTCAAAAGAAATTATATGGTTATCCTCTCATATTTGAAACCCCCAAATAAATAATTAGGAGAAAATAAATGCAGATAATGTTTTTCATTCTTACATTATCCCCACTTGGTATTTATAACTAAAAGACTATGGTTTTTAGTGATTAGTTTCAAAACAGTTACATGTAAGCAATTATATAAAATTTCAGTACATATTCCACATGGAGTTGAAAGACATTTCACTTCTGAATGTAATATTCCATTACTGTGTATGTACCTACATCTAGAACTGGACTGTAATTCTACAGCCAGAGATACTTTTTAGACATTCTTCATTTTCATACACTCTTTGTCACTACAGCTTTGTTTATACAACCTAACGAAAGATTTAGCAAAAGCTAAAGGAGGTCATTTGGGGCAGAGGGCCTTTAGTTTACATTATGGCTTATGAAAGCACCAGTTCCACTCTTTCTGGATTTGAAATGTAAGTTGAAATAGAGCTTGTGCGTGGAATGAGGAGAGGCAAGTTGAAGTATCTTAAAAATACTGCTCAGATTGGAAACATATTCTTTACCGAGGTTACAAAAGAGAACTGTATGATCAGAGCAAAGGACAAAACATATATTTTGCTTCTTTTCTGTTTTTTTCTCATGCTTGGGGAAACTGAATGTTTACTTGGACAAACCCTTCCTTTCAAATGAAATTGTTGGGCAATATCTCCTTTTAGAAACATTATTCTAAAAATCATCCATTATTTTACCAGTGTCTTTTTCCTTGAACATTAGTAAATTGTGGTCCCACTTGTTGGACTGCTTTGCAATTCCGTCTTTGCATTTGATGTGTGAAATCTCATTTAACGAGGTTTCATTACAGTCTTCCACAAAAGAATATGGTTTCAAGAGCTCACCTATCACATTCATAGTGCTTTGCAGTGTTTGTAGTTATTAAGTGTCACACAGTTTTCCTCTTCCCTGCTGTACTACACTGTCAAATGAACATGTACTTTCTGAGCACAGCCACAACCCACTCAACTGCTGACTTTCTCCTGCAAGAAGAGATCACTACAGAATTTCTCAATGCAAGTATATGTGAACTTTCTGCAAAATTACATTTTACATCTATTTCCATTCACGTCTTGAAAATTCTTATGATAGATTACCTGAAAGTTACAAAGAAATACTGAGTTGGTTGGTTTTATTGTTATTTTTGGTGTATGATAGAGCCAAAATATTCCAGTAGAATTTCAGCTTGAACGAGTGTATTGAATTCATCAAGTGTTTCGCCTGAGGGATGCTGACCATTATTTTATCTGTCTGATATTTTTAGTCCATAAACGTGTTAACATTTTAGTTTTCTGAACGATTCTTATTTTAATGTGAGGGTATAAGGCAGACTCTTGTGCTGTAAAATGTGATGGTTCATGAGAGCCTGTCTGTCATTAAGACGTCTAGGAACCATGCCTTATATAGTCACATAGAAAGAAATTCTCATGGAAACGGCATTATGGAGGTGGCAGCTGCAGCTCTTTATTTTTGTCTATGTTGAATTTTGCAGTAAAAGCTTAACCCTTTATGTGATTGATGCAAAAATTACATTTATGTTCACCTCAAGTACAGAATATATATATCTCCAAACAAATTTCTGAAAATATACAGAAGAGTCAAAACAGCTCAATAGGAGTTAAAATTAACTCTGTTTCTACCAGATTACACTGCTATTTCTGAAAATTTGGGCAAGAACTATATTTGGGTATTATAATGTGATTAGAATTAGCAGTAATTACTAATATCCTTCCTCACTGAAAGCTTTTTTTCTTCATTAGAGGTTGACAAGCAATTTGCAGAAAACGCCATATGGAGATATCTCTCCCCCAAAATCTTTCTCAACTTTTCTGTTCCTTATAGGTCATTGTGAAACAGATGAATCAAATGTGGACAGTGAAAATATGAAGGTAGAGGTAGTGAGGCAGGAAAACCCTAAGAACACAGTCAAGTTAAGACTGTGATGTTAAGGGGGTGTATTGGTGGTTGTGAAGCTAGTAAGAGCAAACACATAACCCACAGAGACACTCAGTGTGATTTCTAAGGGGCTGTATGTTTTTTCAGAAGCTGGCAATTTTGGAACCTGGGCACAGAACCTGGAGACCACCAACACCAACCTTGCCAGTCACATTCTGGTGGCTTCTTTAGATTTAGGGAAAAGCAGAAGAAACTGTAATCTGGCTGGACGCTATTGCTCCTTTTCTGTGTTGTTGCTGGTGACAGCAGAAGCCCACATTCTTCATTAGTTGCTTAGTAATCATGGTCTTATATCTCCCCCATAGGCCTGTGGTACTTTGCTATAATTTTTACTATAGTGAGAAAACATTGCTCTGCCTCATCTAGGATACCAACAACCAACATGCTGTCATCAAAGAGCTGGAGCTTGGTCGAAGCACCATGTTGTTGTGTGCTGTATAAAATAATGCCTTCCTGAATATTGCTACTTCAGTTTTTAAAGACTGTGAATTTTCTGTCTTATGCATTTTCTGGCTGATCACCCCATTATATATCACTCTGGCAATACAACTGATATCCTCTCTACTGAAGGTATTCCAGTGTCTCTAGTGCAATCTTTACTATGCAAATAAGAAGACTTCTTTGCTTACCATTCTTCTATAAGAGGGTAGTCTGCAAATATTACTCACTTCTGCTTGTTCGTTTTATCAATTGAGTGTGGGGAAAAGGGAGTTGAAAATACATTTTTGGGCAAATATTACACATGTGCAGAGTTTGATGCTAAAAACATCTTTTTGGATCAAATGAAAGCAGAACTTGAATAGATTAATACTGCATGTGTCACAATACAGTTGTTACCATAGCTATAGAACAATTTTCTCATGAATTTTTATTTTACATTAGAAACTTGTACCATGGCAACAGCAAAGCCTGTGAAAGATCCAACTCCGTCATTATAATTTATCTATTACATCTCTTTTCATTAGTATTATTAACAACTGTTATTCTCCTGAATGTACTTTAGTTTTGAACATGAAATCTCTTGAGATATAAATGTGAATAAGATGATTTTCAACTTTACATGAATGCAGAATTCACAGTCTTTAGTATGCCTCCGATTTTCTTAATGTGCTCCACAGTCTTGGAGTCAGATTGAGGAAAAAATGATGTGAGTTTGATGAAGCATCTGTAAATTATAACTCTCAAATACTGAAAGTGAGAAGTGGTATTCCATAGAGTTCTATATATGTACCACGAGCAACTGTGCTGTGGTGCATCAGTGTGAAAATAAATAGCTGATTGAATTGCAATCTGCTGCCTAAATACTAGTTTGGTTGTATATAAACTGGTGATAATAGCAATATGTATCTGTGGCTTCCAGATTATGGCACAACTGACTTTATTTGGAGTTACAAATGTAAATGTTTTCCATGTAACACAGATACAGCAGTATCACAGTGATTTTCAGAAGTAATCCGCTCAGATGGATAAGCTGTATGTGCACTTGTAATAACACTAAAGTTATGTAGAAATGACATCTGTTTATGTTTTGGTATTTATGATACTATTGACAAGTACAAGGATAAAGTGGTAAGAAAAGCAGTATCTGCTAAGGAAGCAAGATTTCTTTCTGTTGGCTTTTTTTCTTTTTTATGATTACAGAAATAGATGTACTTGCAAAAAAAAAAAAAACAAAAAACAAAAACAAAACAAAACAAAACCTAATTTATAAGCAGAAAGATTCTCTCCACTGGGATTCAGTCCAAGAGTTTGAACTTCCCCTACTCACTCTCCCTTGTATCCCCACCCTCTTGCTTAAAGTCCCTTCTCAGAAGGCTTACTCAAATGCTTATGAGAGAGCAAATTGGTATCATTAAATGACTGTTCAGTGACTAGAGACCTATGCAATGTCATTATATATCATATAATTTCTTAGTATGAGTTAATTTGGCTGAAACAAATAAAAATAAGAATCTAATAAAGTGTTCAATAGCATGTGATAAAGTTCGGGTATAGAACACAATAAAATGGAGAGTCTGATTTTCTCATATATATCTGTAGATTTATAGTTAATTCTAACCAATCAGAACATTGATGATTACTATAAGCAACTTAATGACATGGGTTTTTTCAATGCCCAGCAGTATTCAAAAGACCAAGAATGTTTAGAAACAGACAGAATTTAATACATAAAATATCACATTTTATGCATTACTACTGAGCCTCAGTGGAAATATTTATGTCAGTATCAGTTTTTTTGAAATTTGTGACAGAAATATGCAACAATAAAAATATACCAGTCTCAGATATGAGTAATTATAAAAAGCTAAGAATTTTTTTTTTTAAATAAAGTTGCCTGTTTTAGCGAAGATACAGGAGTAGTAGTATATTATCCTTTTTGAAGTTTTTTATACTTTAGGTTCACAGACTCAGAGAATCACAGAATATAATGAGTAGGAAGGGACCCACAAGGATCACTGACTCCAGCTCCTAGCCCTGCTCAGGGACACCCCCAAGAGCCAAACCGTGTGCCTGAGCATATCATCCAAATGCTTTTTGAACTCTGTCAGCCTTGGTGATGTGACCCTGCAGAGCCTATTCAGTGCCCAACCACCCTCTGAAGAACCTCTTTCTAATATCCAACCTAAACATCCCCTGACACAACTTCAGGCCATTCCCTTGGGTCCTGTCACTGGTAACCACAAAGAAGAGAGACCAGTGCCTGCCCCTCTTCTTCCTCTCATGAGGAAGCTGTAACTGCAGGTCTCCCCTAAATCTCCTCCAGGCTGAGCAGACCAAGTGACCTCAGCTCTCTAAGAGCTTAATATCTTTCCTATATCGCAGTGCCTAAAACTGCACACAGTATTCAAGGTGAGGCCGCCCCAGTGCAGAGCAAAGCGGGACAATCCCCTCCCTTGTCTGACTGGCGATGCTTTGCCTGATGCCCCCCATGACATGATTGGCTCTCCTGGCTGTCAGGGCACTGCTGACTCATGTTCAACTTGCTGTTGATCAGGACCTCCATGTCCCTTTCTGCGGCACTGCTTTCCAGCACCCCATTCCCCAGTCAGTACGTACATCCAGGGTTGCCCCATCCGAGGTGCAGAATGCAGCACTTCCCCTTGTTGAACTTCGTATAGTTGGTGATTTCCCAGTCCTTTGATTTGTCAAGGTCTCTGCAGGACCTCCCTGCCTTTGAGGGAGTCAACAGCTCCTCCCAGTTTTGTGTCATCTGCAAACTTTCTATACCATTTAGAGCAGTGGTATTGCTATCTCTGTGCTTTCCTTATTTCCTGAACATAAAAATATTAAGCATTAACTGCATCAGGAAGCTAAAATAATAATATGAGTCTGTATTTAAAGAGCACTAGATTTAACAGTTGTTAATTCAAAAGTCAAAAGATTCAGAATTGTAATTGCGCCATGGAAGTGTTGGTTGGAAGTGACATCCAGAGATCATTTAGTCCATCCTCCTGTTTTGAGCAGGACTGTCCTCATGAGATCAGACATGTCTTTCCTAGACAGGTCTTGAAACCCTCCAGGGGCGGAGATGCCACCACTCTGGATAACCTGGTCTAGGGTTTCGCTGCACCATGCAATGCTGCTTTCTTCTTAACCTTTATCATGACCACATGATTTTTTTTTTCCTGATGATCCCAGTCTTTTTCATTGCTCGATATAGATGTTATTTGCATTGCTCAAAATCATGAAGTGAAGAAGGCATAGCTATGAGATCTTCGCTTACTTTATCTCATAATTAAGAAAGCTCTTACTGGAAGCAAAAGTTTCTAAAGAGAATTGACAGCTGAGGCAGCTGAACACCACAGGGAGAGTATTCTGCCAGAGCTTTTGTTACTGATCAAGACAGACCAAAGTTTATCCAAATAGTCATTAACAGTGTTCCTCGGTTTTTTGAGTGCTGAATTTGACACACTAGGGGTCTGAGTTGTTTAAGCTACTGAAGTTAATAGCAACTGTGTTTTGAAAATATTCTGTTACACAGTGTTAATTACTCTGAAAATCTTGAAGGATTTCAAATTGGATGCCCAAACTTCTGGATGTTTTCATCATTATATCCTTGTGCCTTATCTCCCATTTATTAAATTAGTATATTATCACATTATAGCCTCACCCTAAAAAGATACCCCAAAAAGTTCATATATGTGAGCCCCTTAGATAATCCACGTTGTAAAAAATTTGAAGAGCTATTGAATAACTTGATATACAAAGAAGAATTTAAAGGGAGTGCAGTAAATAGGTATTAGGACCACTCTTTTTTAGCAAAGAGAATATAAATCCCTGGGGGTATTTAAAAGATGTGAAGATGTGAAACATAGGGACTTTGTTTCCAATTCTGGACCCCTCAGTTCAGGAAGGATATTGAGGTGCTGGAGCAGGTCCAGAGAAGAGCAATGAGGCTGGTGAAGGGATTTGAGCACAAGTCCTGTGAGGAGAGGCTGAAGGAGCTGGGGTTGTTTAGCCTGGAGAACAGGAGGCTCAGGGGAGACCTCATCACTCTCTACAACTACCTGAAAGGAGGTTGTAGCCGGGTGGGGGTCGGTCTCTTCTCCCAGGCAACTATCAGCAGGACAAGAGGGCTCAGTCTTAAGCTGTACCAGGGGAGGTTTAGGTTCGATATTAGAAAGATATTTTTTACAGAGAGAGTAATCAGACATTGGAATGGGCTGCCCAGGGAGGTGGTAGATTTACCATCCCTGGAGGTTTTTAAGAGGAGACTGAATGTGTCCCTTAGTGCCATGTTCTGATAACCACAGCAGTGTTAGATCAAGGGTTGGAGTTTATCTCAGAGGTCTTTTCCAACCCAGTTGATTTTATGATTCTATGACTTGGTTTGGTGGTGGACTTAGCAGTGGCGGGGTAACAGTTGGACTTGATGATCTTAGAGGTCTTTTCTAACCTAAACAGTTCTATGGTACTAGGAAAATGTTGAGGAGCTTCTTCAGCAAGCAAACTTCATTCTGAACACTAAGTGAAACGAGCAGGGTGTTTTTGAAAGCTAATAGTGATCATATAAATAGTGAAATACAGTGCTTACTAACACATGAGAAGATTAATGGTTGCACAGGCAATATTTGTTTTAATCTTTCCTGACTTCCCTAAAGTATTTGCACGGGTATTTTAAAGGTGAAAGCTATTCCTAGATTAGATTATCTATATACTTATGTGTACACAATGCAGTAACTGTAGTGAAAGATCAAGCTGAAAAAGGCTCATACAATACAGTTGAAGTCTTTGAATACATTATAAACTGCTGCCACTCTGACTAACAAAACCACCAGAAGTAATGTTTTAATATGCTGTCACTGCACCACTGCTAGAAAGTAAGACATACACACACGCACTTTCTAGTGGTCACTACATATACTTACTGACCACAGAGGAATGACCACAGCAACAGAGGACAAAATCAGGGCATGAGATGACATTGGTTCTTGGCAGTCTGTACTGTTAAATTGTTTAGGTTTTTGCAAGGTTTGGCCAATACTGAGTAATCACCTAGACAGTATTCAAACATAGTGCAAGTTTTAGCTGAGGCCAGAGACCATTCCCAGTAATTGTTTGGATGGGCCAGCTCTGTCTTGAGAAGAGTTTAAGCTAAAGGGCATGAGTCTAGTAATTCCTTCAGATCCTATAGCTGTTGGCCAGTATTATTAAGTAGTATAGATGTAGCAAAGATATTAGCGAAATTAATGTAGGCATTAGTGAAATTTTTTAATCCATGTGTCTATAAGCTTTTCTTTCTTCTGATTTATTCTTCCTGGTTTACTTTGCTCTGACAAAAACATTCACCTCTTAAATGAGTTCAATACACAGCTATAAGAGACATTTCTGGAACATCAGAATAGGATTCAGCTCATGACTGAGATATCTAAATGTAGGTATCTGTGCACAAAATAATAATAGTCATAATAATAGTCATTGTTAGACTAGTCAACACAGTTAAGAGTGCAAGGAGTGATGCAGTCTCTCGATTTTATCTATCTGATTGTGGTGGAAACTTACATATTTCTTACTCATGTGGATATGTAAAATGAGATGTTTTAATCTGGAGTGGAATCTCATCTACTGGGTTTTTCATGAAAAGGAGAGCCACCAAAGCCAATAATTATTTGCATCATTTATTTCTCATTTTAAATTCACCTTCAAAATTGCCAACACATGTATAATTCTGCAACTTTCAGAAATCAAAGAAAGTGAGAATGTCCCATGTCCTTCTTTTCTCCTGCTTTTTTCCCCTAAACCAACTTTTTCTGCGTTTATTGATCCCTTAAGCTCTGTCATGTCCTACATTTAACCTTTCTCCATAACGGCTCACATATTTTTAGTTGCAAAATGTCTGAAGTGTGTATTCTAGTCAGTTGTTTCCCAAAGAAGAAAAGTATATTTTCTTAGGTGGCACTCTTAAGCTTGATTAGAATTTTATCATGATATTTAACAAATAAGAAAAACATTTAATTTTATTTTTTTATGCTGCTGACTAGTAAAAGATCTGATGATGTTTTGAAGAAACAAGACACTGAAGAAAAACAAAACGCTGAAGAAAATAGAACAGTTTTCTTTTAGAAGTGATAATTTGAGGTTTGGTTGTGGGTTTTATTGCAAGCAGATATTTTAGCTAATAGGAGAAAACTGCTCAATTTCTTTGCAAATTATGACATGATCTGTTTCATTTCTTCTGGTAGCTACTGCTGTGCATATAGTCCTACACTTGGAGTCTATATATGAACATACAACTTCTAGCAAGAATGAGATGAATGTATTTATCATTAATGAAGTAGTTATAGCGATGTGACCATTAGCAGGGACACAGTTATTCTGAGTAAAATATAATAACTTAATGCTATGTGGATAAAGTGATGTTAACCACACCAACATTTTCTATGAAGCAGCACAGGTAGAAAAAGTCTCTTTTTTTTTAAGCCTCCTACTCCTTACAGCAACAGGCATAAAAAGGAGCTTTAAACTTTTAATAATTGACTCTGAATTGTGCAAAAAGTTTCTGTAGTTCCTTTCTGTGTCTATATCTTCTAAATTGCATTCCAATGATTTCTGTGTTCAGAAGTTCCTAGAAATAAAAGCAAGGCTCAGATCTATTATTTAGAGACTGTCAGTAAAAAGGCATCATAGTTTAAATTCACTATTATTATAATGACTATAAAATAAAAATTTACTAAGAATAATCCTGACAATACTGATTCTTCATGTATTTTACCACCTACAAACCAACTACCTAATTTATCATATGAAACTGTATATAATAACTGTATATGTAATTTGTACTCATTTCAACTCTATAACATATTAAAAGAGACACCATTATGTTGATGGAATAGCAATGGCCTGTTTTATAAATTTGTTTTTTCATGGAATCTATATGTAGCACTGAGCACTGTTGGTTGTTCTTCCACCAGTCAGGGTAAAATAGTCAAGTTTAAGGAGAGAGATTTTTTTATTTTTTTTTTTTTTAAGAAAATAATAAATAAGTTCATTTCAAATTTACCTTTTGTTTCTTTACATAAGAACCAAGCAGCATACAAAAGCAATTTTGAGGAGAGTAAAAGTTTTGTGGTTTGCAGTGTTTTATCATCTGGTTCTTTTTACAGTATTCTCTCTCATTTCAGAGCAACTTTGCCAGGGTGAAACGTCCACTGAAAGTGAGTTTCCAGAAGGCCACCCCACTGAGCAGTTTGCAGGTTTACTTCATGGATCATCACCTGCATGTGACCCACCTGAAAATCCATTCCAGCTGTACAGTAAAGTAAACCCGTGCAGTGGTCCACTAGAGAAAAGCATTTTGAGCAAGAGCACAGTACAGCAGATACAGCTACGGAAAGAAAGCAGCTCTGATCCACCTGTTAAGAAAAAAAAACCACCAATTGTAAACAGAACCATATTTCATACTAAAAATAAACCAGTAGAAAATCATACGCTGGTTGGTGCTCCAAGGATAAGTGAACAATGGGTTATTACCACTGGGGGATTTGTGGAGCGAGCATGCACACTTGGGAGAATACGATCTTTACCGAAGACTTTGCTTGAAATGCATTTGTGCAAAAATGTTTCGAAATCTGATTCTAATCTTATCACCCATCCACCAAATGACAAAAAAGCAAGAAGCAATTGGAGTGAACCCACACCAAATCAACAGTGCTCCAAAGGGAATTCAGAGAGAACACCTTCCTTCACATCAGAATGGGAAGAAGTAAGTTTTGTTCATTTTTTAAGTACTAGCAAATATATGGTCTTATGAAGATGCTGTTACTGTTTTCAGTATGTTGTTTCAGAGATGAAATAAAAAGTGAATCTTTCACACTGCAAATCCTCAGAGGGAATGTCACAGTGTAATGCAGGGTAGTTCAACAGCTGGCACAAAATGTAAAGCATTTCTGTTCCAATGCTGCCCACTCAATAAAGTCTATTGTTTCCGTAGTGAATGAAGTTAACCAGAAGTAATTCTGCAATTTGTTGTGGCATTGAAATGATTGTCTGCTAAAGCCCTCACCACTGACACTAATAAAATTGGTAAAATCCTTTGTAACTATACCTATGATTTACGTATTTGCTAATTATTTCCCACCATGGCAGTGTCTGCCAGCAAGAGAGAGGAAAAAATGGCAAGAATAGAGAGTTGCATTCTACAAACCCTCCCTATGCATCATATCCTCTAACTGGTATGTAGCCTGTGTACAAAATGCTTGGCACATACCTGTCTTGTGTATACACTTACAGCTGCAATAAATTCAGGAGTATCAACAGAAATGTCCACACTAAATTTGTAATGCACATGGTTGTAATGCTCATTTAAGAGACTTTATTTTAGGTTTAGAACTCAATTTAAAATAATTCTTAGGCACCTTATGTTTAGCTTTTTTTCTCCTGTGCTGAATTTCAAGAATGTAAAAGGTTCTTCATAAACGCAGAAGTTCCCATCTCATTGGGGTAAATTAAGAGGGTGAAAGGTTTAGCTCTTGCTCCTACAGAGAAGTGAGCATTTCTCTTTAAAATGACTACAAAGGGGAAAATTATCTATCTCCGGAGTGCTTTTTTATTCAGAAAGAACCCAGAGGTTGATGGGTTATTTTTCTAGAAAAAGGTTTTCAGCTCATCTAGATGTCCAATTTGATAGGGCATCTAAAGGAAGTTTCTGTTTTAAAGGAGAGAGTGGAAATGTACTAAGGATCAGGTTTCAGTCTTTATAACTTGGTTACATTATTATAAAATTATTATAAAATCCCAACTAGAGTCAGTTCCAAGTTTGCCTTTCTGGGGGGTCATCAAGGTTTGATTGTTCTTAAGATTAAAAAAATGTATGAATTCCCAATCTGCAGATTCTGTCATAAGTCCCAGATTTTCTTCTGTCACTAGTGACTAATACATACCCTTTCTACTAGTCCTAATATTAAGCTTAGTAAAATGTGCTTCTCTGTGTCTGCCTTCTTAGTCCACACCATCCTTTTGATTCACTTTTTGTTTTGTCCTGTTCTTACAGAAAATAAAATAGGTATAATGGTTTTGACATGATAAGTTCAATGTGCTTTAGAAACATGCAAATAAGTTTTGGGATCAGTGCAGTGTAGTTTCACAGAGAAGATAATTTTTCAATTTGTGGAAACACAGCAATGTATCATACCTACTCGGTAGCCTTGAGGCAGATGGAAAAAAGGGAGCTAGGAAATTCTCTGGACATCTTAATTGAACAGTTGTTTTAATACTTAAGAGCACACAAAAAATATTTTTGTTCAATATTACTGCTTAAATAGACCACTAGTAATAATACCTGATGCCATTGGTATAAAAGGAACTCTACTGTAGAAAAAGAAATAGTAGTCCCAAGCTTAAGCTTTTGCTAGCATAAAAATATTGCAAAATAAAAATCAAAGTGGAGAAATTAATTTTCTACCTTTGATTTTTGCTTTTTGTAATTTTGGTTATTGTTTTCTGAATGAGAGTAACAATGCCATAAATTTATGCATGAAAACTAAAATAAAATAATGAAGATGGGATCCATCAGTTGTTTTCACTGTTCTCTCTTTTGTAGATTGATAAAATCATGAGTTCAATAGATGCTGGAATTAATACTGGACTGGGGGAGATGAGTGATCACGCTACAAGTAAGGAAAAACTACCAACTAGTGTTTAATTTTGGTTTAATTGTCTATAGTGAAACTGTGGATAAGACATTGCTAAGTAACCCACTGTGTTGAAATAATTTTTAGGTATTTTGAATAACCATAAACAGACTCAATGTTGTTTAATATTAGAGATGCATTAGGCCCAGTATCCTGGAGCTGCTGCTTTAAATAGCATGTTTGAGTTATTAATGTTGTTTTGAAATCTTACCAGAAAAAACACTAATGTCTTTGTACTGAAGCCTTTCTTCTAGGGGGATATTTTACAATCTTTTTCAGCTGAGG